GTGTGGCTGGGTCTCCCTGTGCCGCAGAACGACCGGGGCAAGGCGCTGAAGGCCATGGAGGCCACTTGGAACAACATGGAGAAGAAGGAGAAGCTGATGTGGATCAAGAAGGCGGCGGAGGATCAGAAGCGATATGAGGTGGGCTCCCCTGGGGCTCTGCTCCCTGCCCCCCAACCTGAGCTGCGTCCCCTCCGCGGGGCACGGGGAGGGAGTCGCCACGCAGCGGCATCACGGCGCCGTCTGCCCCCGCTGCACGGGGAGGCGGTGCCGGGTCCGGAGAGAGGAGACCTGCCTCCCAAGGGGCGTAGAGAGCCAGATGGGGATTCCTCTCCCCAGGCTGGGACGAGGGGTTGCTGCTTTCTAGGGGACTCGTTCCTCTGACCCCCCACGCACCTGCAGCTGGGATCCAGCCCCAGATCTCTGGGTTCCCTCTGGGGCTGGGACCCCACCTCCGAGACCCAGCGTCCCTGGATGGGGCAGGAGGAGACCTGCCTCCCAAGGGGCGTAGAGAGCCAGATGGGGATTCCTCTCCCCAGGCTGGGACGAGGGGTTGCTGCTTTCTAGGGGACTCGTTCCTCTGACCCCCCACGCACCTGCAGCTGGGATCCAGCCCCAGATCTCTGGGTTCCCTCTGGGGCTGGGACCCCACCTCCGAGACCCAGCGTCCCTGGATGGGGCAGGTGGCTTTGCCCCAATGGCAGGCTGCACCTACCCCTTGGTTGCCAGAAGTTTCCAACTGCAGGGTTGGGGGGAGAGGCTGTGCTGAGCTGGCAATGGGCCTCACCTCCGTCTCTATCCTCCCCCTCCCCCCCAGAGAGAGCTGAGTGAGATGAGGGCCCCCCCGTGCTCCACAAACTCCTCAAAGAAGATGAAGTTCGCCCCAATGGCAGGCTGCACCTACCCCTTGGTTGCCAGAAGTTTCCAACTGCAGGGTTGGGGGGAGAGGCTGTGCTGAGCTGGCAATGGGCCTCACCTCCGTCTCTATCCTCCCCCTCCCCCCCAGAGAGAGCTGAGTGAGATGAGGGCCCCCCCGTGCTCCACAAACTCCTCAAAGAAGATGAAGTTCCAGGGAGAGCCGAAGAAACCCCCCATGTGAGTATCGGTCCAGGCGGGCGTCTCTTCCAGACCATGTGGAAGCCAGGCCACTCATCCTGTACAGGAGAGAGTGGGTGGG